CCACTAGTAACTAGACACCAATGTCAACGGTGTCATCTAAACAGAAGCGACAAAACCCTTTTCACATTCATAAGAAATCTCTGCTAAATGTCGATTGTACAATTGTGACTATCATGAGCTTATATTTGTTTCAGAAGCATTACAGCCGTATTATGTTATTTGTAAAGAAACCGAGTTTGAACCAGACAATCCAGTGATTGTCACTAAAACACATCTCAATGTATACGCATTATTTCTCCATGCTTTATGAAAAATATAACAATCTAACCGACATCTTGTATTTCAAAAGCCTCATGATGGCCACCATATCTGCTTCACACACGAGCTGTCTAGTCATATCTAGTAACCGTGTATGTTAAACTGATACATTCCTTCTCATACAAAGACCGACATCTGCAGTAACAGTGCAATTTGTTAGAATCAAAGACATTCATGCAACTCCTGCTTATAGTCATTTGATCAAGACGACGACAACCAATGCCTCAGTAAAGGTTTCAGAACGTGTTTAAGTACGAAGATGTTTCTCCAAATTTGACGCATCATTGACAATTTTTTAAATTCCTGATAGCTGTTTACATGTATAGATATATGGCACTGTAATAGTGTTTACAGGATTTTTATATTAGATTAAATAAATAAATAAATAAATAAATAAATAAATAAATAAATAAATAAATAAATAAATAAATAAATAAATAAATAAATAAATAAATAAATAAATAAATAAATAAATAAATAAATAAATAAATAAATAAATAAATAAAGTAAAACATAATTTTAAACATTAACAAAAGACATATCACTCGCTCTCTCATTCATACCCTTGCATTCTCTACCATAACATTAACTAATCATTTACAAGTTTTACATACATTGCCCATTTGCTTTCGAATTCGTTAAACTTAGATTTATTACAATATCTGGCTTTTTCTACAAGATAATAATACTATAATTCCTTTTTGAAGTGTTATAACAAAGATATTATCTTTCACAGCTTACATTTATAAGTATGATATTTGGCTAGTAGTAGTATCATCGCTGACAAAATTGATGTACAATGTTATTACCTCTCTTGCTTGTAGCGTGTGTTCTCGTCACCTTTCTGGACACACCGTCGGCCAGTCCTGATAGTGACAGTAATTAAACATGCTCACGATAGAGTCGGAATCCGATAAGCGTGGTTTCTAGGTCATATGATTTTTTTTCGCTTTTATCTAAAAGCTGTCGAAAAGTGTGAGATCGTTCCACATCTGAACCTTAGACGCGATGAGGATGGCGATTATGCCTTGTAGACAGCCTCAATGTATGGTATGATGTGGCAGACATTTTTTAATTCAATTCATTAATAAATGTTATTACCACTAAAACGCTCTGCCACCAGTAAATATCGTTGCTTGGTGGTAACATCAGTCTAAATAAACTTAAACTCAGTATTATTCGTTACACTCCTATATTCAGTATAGCAGTGTAACGAAACATACTGAGTCTAAGTTTACTTAGACTGTGCATCAATATCTTCTTAAGACGATCCCTGCACGTTTCGTTTTGGATTTCGTTCCTTCAAGGTTTCACTACATTAAAATCCACACGACTTGAGTGAGGTATAATCCAACATGAAAGAACTGACACGCCTGTCAAAACTTGTCACATGCGACTCAACTGTGTGGGTTACCAGTCGTCGGCGACCTCCACAAACAAAGCTGTCAGTAAAGTAGATGTTGTTAATGTAGATGTTACGCTAGTCATCCATCACTGACCTGCTCCACATCAGACTCGTTGTACAACATCCGACTGAAACACAGGCTTTGACAGCAACGTCTGTCGTAACACCGCGGCTTGTAAAACAAAGGTTCATCTGGTCATCTGGTCAGTGATGGATGGTCTGCCTGTCATACTCGGGTATATAGCCACAGCAGATGATAGAACTCGTCACTTCTCGAAGTCAATCTTCCCACACAGGTGAGTCGTCTTGCATTGTATGTTTTCTTGATATGATATTGCTTGGGGGAGTAGCAGAGGGAAATGTTAGATACCTATACATGCTTTTGAAGTTACGGAAGTTAAACCATATGTGTATATATACTGAACCACAAAAGAAATGTCGCACCGATAGCGGTTTCTTAAAGCACACACTTTAATTCACTCTAATTAACAATCAAAAAGGAGGATTGAGTTCAAACTTGACAATTATGGTTAACACATTTTCGGGAATCACATTTAGAGTTCACACAAACAAAATCACCAAAAATGGTACCATTACGATACCTCAAAGTTAGTATTGTGTGTGACCTCTATGGGCAGCGATGAAAAGGTTGCATCGTCTGTACATGGAATGAAGTAGCCGGTTGATGAAGGCCATTTTCATTTTCACGAATGTCATAAGGAACCTTTTACCACGTCTGCCATTTTAGGTGCGTTTCGTCGATATGCTTTTTCATCAGAAAACACACTGATGTTGGTAATAACTGTCAATTTGGATTGAAAAACATGTTAATAAAACGATACAATCATCATAAAAACACCATTTTGTATAAACAAAATCTTGCATTTGGTTTTGAAAAGCGACGTTTCTTTTGTGGTTTAGTATATACGAGTTTTACGGAGCTTTTTGCAATATTCCAGCAATATCGGGGAATACCAGAACATGGGCTTCACATTTTGCAATTAGGGAATCGAACCCAGGTATTCGGCGTTACGAGCTAACGATTTAACCACTAGGCTACCCCACCGCCACATACTAGTATATGTAATTGTGATTATTAATATCTTCGTATGAGTGAATTCCTTTTAATAATGCAGTTGAAATTGTGAAAATTTGAAGTTGATTTGCAAAAAATATTATGTTCGGTTAATACCCGTCAACCAACACGGTATGTTCAGAGGATATAACTGACGGCCGCCGGATTTTCAAACGTTCGCTTTTTGCAGGTTATGATTACGTAACTTGCATGCACACGACCCATACCACTATAGCAAACAGCACATCACTTGAACATGTCTGTAGGCAAAGCGCCTATAAGCCAACCGTAAAGTAGGCGATGTGGCACTGGGACGTCATACCGAAAGTCAGGTACGATTGCCAACATGTGTGAGGCACATCTATGGCGTCCTGTGTTGTGATATTGCTAGAATATTGCTAAAAGCGGCGTTAGCAAAGCTTTGGTCCAAGGTCATACAGACATATACTAAAACAAACCTCTCATTGTGCACGGTTTCTCTTGAACTTCACCTACAAAAAGTTAAGCAACTCTTGTTCTTGATCATGTCAAAATTGTAGACTTCCGATCACATGTACGAAAGGGTGAGTTTCTGAAACAGTCACACCCACTGGTGGCCTCGCTATGTCGACATATGGTTTGACGATGTCGCGAGGCATGCCTGCCAACTGTCGACCGTGTTGTAGATGTTCCACGTTACCAATAGCCTAGCTTGATAAAAGAGGTCCAAATGTAATCTGTTTGTTTTCTTGAAGAAACGTTTTAAGATTTATTTAGTAACTTGAAGTGACTCACCAGGAACAAAGTCTATTGCCACGGATACAGGTCTTTGTTGTGCATTGTGTTCAGTCAGATGGGGGCGGTGGGGTAGCCTAGTGGTTAAAGCGTTGGCTCGTCACGCCGAAGACCCGGGTTCGAATCCCCACATGGGTACAATGTGTGAAGCCCATTTCTGGTGTCCCCCGCCGTGATGTTGCTGGAATATTGCTAAAAGCGGCGTAAAACTAAACTCAGTCAGTCAGTCAGTCCGATGGCAGTTTTGAAGCCTATCCTCTTATAACGATAACTCAAGTGACGAGTTCAATCCTTGCTTTAAGTCGAGTGAATACCAACTTCCGATGTGGAAGGTACCTAGGACGTTTGTTGTTCTGTAGATGATTTTGATCCTTCTCGTCCAGTGCTTTAGACAACATACCTAGCCAGTATGTGCAGACCATGTGTAAGGTACGTGAGACCTCATGTGTTTGGGTATGTGTCTAAACCAGGTATATAGGGGGATGTGTCGAAAGCAGGTATTACCGGGATTTCCCGTATTTAAGCCCTGGGCTTAATAACGGAAATGACCCCTCTCGTTAACAAATATAAACCCCATAATTAAGCCCAGGGCTTAAATTCGGGACATCCTTGTAACTGAAGAAAATGATTCTTAGACACAGTAACATGGAATGAACTTCAATACTGAGTGATATTATCATATTTTATACACCAGGTGTTTCGGAGTATGTCGAAACCAGGTGTTTGGGAGTATGTCGAAACCAGGTGTTAGAGGACGTGTCGAAACCAGATGTAAGGGAATGTGTCGAAACCAGGCGTTCGCCCCTGCCCATGGGTTACATAATGTTCAAACCATCATTTGTTGAGACGCTGACCTCATGCACCAGAGTCCCCGATGTACACATGTTAATGGTATGACATTTGTTTCAGCTGTAGAGAAAGATGAAGTTGACGTTGATTGGGCTTGTGTGTTTTCTGGCGTTGACCGCTGGTAAGTAGCATGCCGACCACATTAATGTGTTCTCAATACATCATCACACCTCGGGTGTAGTTTAGTTATTACTATTTACACAATTCATACAGTAAGCATGCCATATTTGTGATTCTTGAGAGCTTGGTTGAATAACCCTTTCGCCCAGTATTTGTGAATGCGATGACATCCCTGTAGCATAATGCAAAACATTCTTCCCTGCAGGTCAAGAGCCTTCACCTACACCTTACCTAGCTCCACCGCCAGGGGCTACCTATGATACTCAAGCTCCACCTTCTGGAACGCCCTACGACACCCAAGCACCATTGTCGGGAGCGCCCTACGACACCCAGGCACCACCGTCTGGAACTCCCTATGATGCTCAAGCTCCACCTTCAGGAACGCCCTACGACCCGCAGGCTCCACCTTCAGGAACGCCCTACGACCCACAGGCTCCTCCTTCAGGAACGGTCTACGACCCGCAGGCTCCACCTTCTGGAGCGCCCTACGATCCCCAAGCTCCACCTTCTGGAGCTCCCTACGATCCCCAAGCTCCACTGTCTGGCGGTGGTCCTCTTGACGTCTTCAACAACATGGCAGCCCCACCGGCCGGTAGTAGCAATGCCAATGCCCCAGCAACAGGTGGAACGATGGATCCGTACGCCGCAACAGCTGGCTTCTATCCTGATCAGTATTCAGGTCCTTCCACTAACACTTTTCCCACAAGTCCAAACGGCCAATCACTCCTCCCAGATTCTACAAACTCAAACAATCTTCTGCCCGTTCCAAACTCAGCTGACCCGAATGCCCCCCTTCCCATTCAAAACGCCGTTGACCCAAATACTCCCTTTCCCAGTCAATACCCATCAGGACAAAATGTTCAGATGCTTCCTTACTCCAGCCAAAACACAGGCTCTTCTCCTGGAACCTACCCGATTCAGCATAACGGGTCCCCGCCAAACCCGTATTCCGGAACACAAAGCAGCTCTCTGCCTTATCCCTACTTTGCTTCACAGCAGAACAATCTAATTTCTGGTCCTTCGTCCTATTCAACACAAAACCAACCCACAGCTAATCAAAGTCCTGGTACTCAAAACCACCTTATGATGGCCTCGCAGAATAGTCAAACCACTAACCCCTTCTCACAGACCCAGAATAGTCAAACCACTAACCCCTTCTCACAGACCCAGAATAGTCAAACCATTAACCCCTTCTCACAGACCCAGAATAGTCAAACCACTAACCCCTTCTCACAGACCCAGAATAGTCAAACCACTAACCCTTTCTCACAGACCCAGAATAGTCAAACCATTAACCCCTTCTCACAGTCCCAGAATAGTCAAACCACTAACCCTTTCTCACAGACCCAGAATAGTCAAACCATTAACCCCTTCTCACAGACCCAGAATAGTCAACCCATTAACCCCTTCTCACAGACCCAAAATCGTCTTGGAACCAACCCTATGTCTGGCGCACAGAATAGCCCCACAATGAACACTATGTACAATCCCATGTCAAGCGTACAGTCCGGCAGCAGCCCAGCAACAAGTCCCTTCTCGGGTCAGCAACGTAGTCACCCTTACCCTGCACTTGCTAACCTACGGGGAAATACCGGAAATGCCCAGTCTAGCCTCAACCAAGGGAATCCAATGTTCGGTGGAATGAGCATGGGCTCAGGTGCTTTGCCCTCCCCTTTCAGTGCCCGCCCAGCGGGGATGCAACCAGTCACAGGCATGCCATCTGGACCCCTTTCTGCTATGCTTTCAGGCCTGGGAGGAAGCCCAATGTCCGGGATGGGTTCAGGGTTTTCTGGAATGGGAGGTATGGGGTCATCGATGGGAGGAATGGGTTCTAGAATGATGTCACGTCCAGGCTCCAGAATGTTTCCAAGATCAGGAGCGAGCTCACAGAACACCAAGCCCAGCAGCCAACAGAACCAGTTTGCCTCCATGCTTCCATTCTTGCTACGTGGTGCCAGCCCCGAGACCAGGAAGATGATGATGATGATGTCGATGATGCAAGGGAAAGGTGGCAACAGCAACATGATGGACATGATGCCGCTGCTGCTGATGAACGGAGGAGGAGGAGGAGGGGGAGAGGGCATGAACCCCTTGATGATGATGGCCATGTCGCAAGGAGGAGGTGGAGCATCCCAGATGATGCCGCTCATGATGATGGCGATGTCCGGTGGAGAGATGAACATGAACTCGATGCTCCCCTTCATGATGGCCAGCCAGATGAATTCCGGGGGCCAGGCACAAGGGGGGTCCTGGGGTGGTCAGCAGGGAATGGCATCCATGCTACCTTTCCTCTTGTAGACTCCCCTTGCATCTGTTACCAGTGACATCTACACATATCTTTACAAGGCAGAGACGCCCGGTCCCCATCCACCAGTGATGTGTATAACACAGTGTCTTGATATCAGGTTCCAATGTCTTGATATCACATGCCCTGTGTTCTGATATCACGAACTGTGTTTTGATATCACATACCATGTGTCTTGATATCATATACCATGTGTCTTGATATCGCATTCCGTGTGTTTTGGTATCACACTCTGTTTTATGTAATGTGCACGATGTCGTCGTGCTATACATTGTTGTAAATACATTGTTGTATTTCCGGTGACCAATTTGATGTCTTTGTTGACCACGACTAAATGATAAAACGAAATATATTGTACATGACACTCTTGTATCATAATCTATACTGTTATATGTTGTACCATATGGCACGCTTGTATGATAAGGTGTACCATTTTCAAAATGTACCATATAAGCAAAAGATGGATTAAAATCGATGTGTCACAACCATTTGTTTTGTTTCCATATCTAAGTATTTAAACGCAAATGTTCAATCAAGCTTGTGGCACTGGAAACAGCACCTCACAGAACTGTGGCTGAGATATACTACGGACCAAAGCAAAATTGATACTTTTCAACAGGTAGACAATCTTTTCACGCAAATCACTTGGTAACAATATGTTAAGACAGATACTTTGCGCACTGTCGAACACCGTACTTCTTTAGAAAACTGAATAATGTCATTAGACCGGAAGTGATGTCATCAGGCCGGAAGAGGATATTAATATAACTGACAACACCACTTGCAAAATAACAAGGACTATCTTCTCACAACAGTCGGCTGTACTGTTCCGACTATATCGAGTATATCTATGAATCACTATCAAATAGTGATGATTAAGTCAAATGATTCCTTTAGCACTGGTGAGGATACGTTGAATATACTCAATCATCTTGGAAGTGTAGTTTATAGACATGAAATCATTTGTATGACTGAAACTCTGTTAAACGTTATGGCAACATATCACTTGTGTGATTGAACAAAAGAAGAAAAAAAAAGATTATTATTCAAAGAGAGTGTCTAAATCACAGGGGCTTGTAACGCTTAAAAACTGCCATCAAGGTATATACTGTCACTAACGGGGTCTTCCTTTTATATAGTGCTAAGAACCCGTTAGTGACAGTACATACCTTGATGGCAGTTTTTAGCGTTACAAGCTAAACTGTTCAAAACTAATATGAGGAATTTATGTGGGATTTGAGCCTATTTTAGGGCTTTTTGTTCTCTCTCAAAGTACAAAGTATATAAATGTTTATGGGATTTTCATCTTGCTAGCAAGTGGCACAGATCTGGTTTTTGACAATGACGAGAGACGACTCGACTTGGCCACCGAGAAGAGGTATAAAGGGAATTAGTTACATATGCTAACTTTAAAGTTTATGAGACAAAGACATCCTAAATTTCGAAACGAAATACCACCTTAAGGTTTGAGTGAGTGAGTGAGTGAGTTCAGTTTTATGCCGCTTTTAGCAATATTCCAGCAATATCATGGCGGGGGGACACCAGAAATGGGCTTGACACAGTGTACCCATGACGGGAATCGAACCCATATCTTCGGCGTGACGATCGAACGCTTTAACCACTAGGCTACCTCACTGCCCCTCTTAAGGTTTGAAAATGTATGGGTTCTACTTCATTTATCTCTGTGTGTGCGTGCGTGCGACAAGTACCAACTTTGAACCTATTTGGCAGGAGTGATGAAGTCCGCAAGTTGGATTTCACACATTAAACAATTTTTTAGTTCATCACGGTGTGTCAGCTTATAGTGAGAGAGTACGAAATTATTAACCACTTGGGTGAAACCAACGCATATGGGTGTGGTGCTGCCAAAATTCATGTGTTTCTGTATAATCACTTGCCACCCCTCCGATGACAGGGACACCTGTGGTCCCTCTAGGTTCTCTTGGTTTCAAGATTATAGAGTTCACCAGGAGTGTCAACTGCCTTGTCCACTGGTTGTTTACTTCAGGTGCAGAACACAGTTAAATGAGCTCTCTGGAATGATTCCCCAAGTGAATTATTTTCAAAACATTTTGTCTGATAAAGAGCCACACCACATTTATGTAGAACATCCAGTAAGTGCAGGGATATACAGTACAACCAGAAATTATTGAGAATTTAAGATTGTATTGTTTTTTTTAAAAATTCACTCATTACTCACGTATTAAATGTGAATATTAGCAGAACATAACTCCAGATTCAAAGACAGGTGAACAGTTAGTATTTTGTCAAGTCACAATGGGCAGCATTGCAGGCTTCAATGCGGCGGGACATGCTACTGATCAAAGAAGTTAGAAAGTCGTGGTCCATGCTGTCCCAATATCGGACCACCTCTTCTTTCATTTCAGCAATATTTGTCAGATTTTTCTTATTGACACTTTCCTTCATAAGTCCCCAAACATTTTCTATTGGATTTAGGTCAGGGCTATAGCTTGGGCAGTCTAATAATGTCATATTATGGGTCCGAAACCAGGCCTGTGAATGCTTTGAACGATGTTGGAAAATCCAAAAATGTCCATAGAACACGTCAGCAGAAGGAAGTAAATGTCCCTCGAGAATATCAGTGTACCGCTGACGGTTCATATTCCCTTCAAACAGATATGCCACCCCACACGTTAAATTTCGGACTGTACTTTGGGCGATGATACAAAGGTGTTTCAGTTTGTTTGGTCAAACAGAACTTTCATCTGAGAAAATCACATTGTCCCAGTTACAATTTCTATGCTGTAAGCACCAGTTCAACCTTCGCTCCTTTTGTTCAGGTTTCATGATCGGTGATGGAATTCGTCGACGTTTCTGCCAACCCTTTGCATGCAGCTCAGTTCTAATTGTCTCCTTACAGACAGCCACAGTTCCTCTATCAATCATATCCAGCCTTAAGTTTTCCAAACTCCTTCGTTTGTTTTTAGAAACAAGAATACCAAGCCGCCTCCTGTCACCGACAGTCAATTTTCTGGGCCTCCCTGCGCCTCCCTGGTGCTCAATGCCATATCCATTTGCAATATTTTATAAAACACGATAAACAGTGGACAAAGGGAAGCCTGTTCTACTTGAAATCACTTAAGCTGATCTGATGTCCTTGTTATAATACTCTAAAATCAACTTCCTCTTCTCTAAATCATCCATACTGAGGATCACTGAAAATGTCGTCTGCTAGCAAGTAAACAAAGGGGGATAACTCTTCACAAACTAATGAAAAAGGATTAACGGAGTTGTTTCTCTTGAATGAAACCAAGCACTTGATAGCTGGTCAAGGTTGTTTATACTAGAAATCAATTAAACATATTCCTAAAATTCTCAATAATTTCTGGTCATACTATATTACCATTTGGTCTTTGAGACCAGAAGATACTTCTTTTTCAAGAATAATGAAAACCTCTATTCCTGGAACTTCATTCACTAGCGAAGCCAAGCCATATACAAGCTGTTGTTGGTGAACATCAGTAAGGACAATTCCACCAACATAAAGCAACCTGTAAATAATCTAGCCTTGAGCACTCAAACCAGTGACTGATGTAATGAGGGATGGTCAGATCATCAGGTACAATGACACTGGAGTGGAGAACTTTTAGTGTCTTCCAAAGGATAATAGTGACTGGTATAGTAGTGTAGAATTACTTGATGCTATTGAATTGTAAGTGGTCATCAGTCACAAATAACTCAACATAATAATTTTCACATAAATATAACTTTAATTCTGGAAAAAGCCACAATATATCATTTTGTATTTTCAAATAATGATTTCAATAATGACAAAGAGCATCACATGTTCACAGGTATTAAACTGTTCAAAATACCTCTCCACAGGTATCCTGAAAACATGAATTCTGATAATTCTTCAAGAAAATTCAACAAGACTGTCGTGAATCACATACACTCTGTGGGTGCAGTATTTACAGAAATAATCACTTTCCTTTCAAATAATTACCTTGTTCTGTTCTCAGATACGCTCCTCCTTCCATGCCACATGCAATTCATTCCATTCTCAGACACATTGCCTTGTCAGACAGAACACATTAACTTGTCATACACATTGCTTTCTGTTGTTGGAAAAGACACATTAAGTATTCAATAACACAACACATTCTGTATTAAGACACATTTTGTTCTGGTCAGACACATTCCTTCCTGTTGTGAGATACAACCCATTTTCTATTAACCAAACAACTCATTTTGCATTCAACACACAACTCATTCTGTATTTAAAACACAGCACATTCTGTATTCAAAACAGCATTCTGTTCTCAAAGACATTCCTTCTTCTTGTGAGATCTGTATTTAGTATTTACTACACAATCTGTGTTCGAAACACAAAACTTGATCTTTTAAGACATATCATCTTCTTGCCAGGTACATTTCTTCCTGTTGTGAGATACAACACATTCTGTATTAAACACACAACTCCTGTATTCAACACTCAGCACATTCTGTTCATTCCCTATTCCAAGACAGTTATTGCTTGTGAGACAAACAGATTCTGTATTTCCAACTCACAACACATTCTGTTCTCAAAACATTCAACACACAACCCATTCTTTTCTCACACACAACCATAACACAATGATAAAACCAAACTGTAAAATCAAACCCATAGAACATTTTACCTCTGAAACAAACATGCGACATTCAACTGGGCAAAATGCAAATCATTTCATACATTAATAAATACCATCTACATCCCCTTGAAAAATACGGCACAGTATGTATAATCATTACAATCTCTAAATTAAAAACAATCTCTTCAATCATTAACATTAAATACAAAAATGCTGGCACTCTCAGTTCTGATATATTCCTGGGAGAAGCCTTCAAGTATGCAGGATGTGAGAAGTTCATGAAGGCATCATCGCACGCCACACAAAAATTCAACTCACTCACTCTTCATCAGCTGAAGTTATTATCCTAAGGTCAAATGATTCAGCAGAATAAACACACCATTATTTTTCAATTTCAAAATGAAAGGTCAGAGAAAATATGTATCGGATCTAGTTGAAGTTCATGTCAGCAGAATATGTGTCAAATTTGAAAACCATTAAAAGAAAATATTTTGAGTCAGCTAAAAAGATTATGATTGCTTTAAGACCAACTTTTCCAGATGCCCAAGTCACAATTCCTTGTTGCAATGTGATGACAGCATTCATAACTCTATATACAAAACATCTGTATACAGTTATATTTTTGTGAAAGTGAAGTAGAAAAATACAGTTTTATGGTTTGATAGCAACTTTCATAATTCATAAATAATTTGAAAAAATACTTTAAGGAAATAAATTACATTATGCTGTATCCCTATAATACTGCTATGATGACTATTTGTATATTGAATGAATCAATTAGTTACGTTTGTAGCAGATTTCAAATAT